AAGCCTCAATTTTACGTGGTATAACAATGGCGACAATTCGTAATTCAGACCTCCGTTGTCTCGAATTGTTCACAATTGTGTTGAACAGACAACATCGATGATTAAAAAAAATACATAAAGATGGATAATTTCAGCCAGAAAAAACTATTATTGCTCGAACATAGTAGCGTAAGTATCGTGACTCGTAACAGTTGTTGTACTTAACCGGAAAACAACAGAAACGGAAGACAAGCAATGAGAATAATCAACCCCATGTTTAATTTACTGATTGCTGGGCCAAGCAAAGAAACAGAAAACTCAGTATTTCTGCAGGACATTTGCAATACTAAACATGCAGTGCAATAATTGTATACAGATTGTACATAAAAATAAATAGAAAAAAAGGAAAAAAACTGGTTTTGTTTTATTCCCCCATATGACAAACAATATGTTAATTTATGCTAATTATATGCTAATTGTCATGCAAATTAGCCGCGACTCGATGAAAAATTTCTGGGGAGAACACTGATATACTTCAGGACACGATTTTCTGTAGATTTGAATGGATGTGTACATAACTAGAATATCCACATTTGGGAATGGAATCACTTTGTTGCTATAAATTCTTTTTTAACATTGTTTTTTTGGTGAAAATACCGAAAATTTACAGTGATCACCTACCGAGTACTGATGAACCATAATAACTGCCTGTCAACCCATACCTAATAAGTAACTTTTTACTCAAGTGGGATAAAATCCTAACTTCCAAATCTGTGTCTGCTATAACAGTCTGTAGGACATTCGATCGTGAATAATAAAACAGGACTGTTAACTTGTTACCAGGACAGGCAAATTTTGAAAGTTACTGTCCTGATGTCTGGCAATAATCTAAGGCCTGTTTCATACACTGGACAAACACTGTAAAGCAGGAAAATTATGTTATCTCTATGTGCCATTATTTGTTTTAACCCTGGATCAAAGAACAATAGGGTGGGGAACAATAGTCAAGTTATCTTGTGGTGTGAATCGAATACCACAAAATATTACTGCAACTAAATCAAAAGGAAATCATGGATATAACTGTTGATGTCATGATAAAATAAAAATTAAATATATTTAGTGTTCATAACTGTTTGCACATTTTTGAATGCCCTGTCTAATCATTTCACAGAAATAACACGTAAAGCAATGACTGAAAAGAAGATGACTACTGGTATGTCAGCCAAGACCATGAAATCTATTAAGAAGTTTCTAAAACTATACAAGATTGATATACTTCCAACAATGAAGAAACTATCTCCTTTCTTCTATTGTAAGTGTACATTATTATCATCATGACATTGCCTTGTCTTTATTATCACTGTCCAGCTGTGTTGATTTCAAGATCAGATTTGTTCATTTCATGATATCTTCAATTCTCTAATTTTGATTAATATTTTTGGTAAAAAGTGGTATTTTCGACTTCTTGTTAAAAACCGTAAGTTCGATTTCTTTGATATTACATATATAAGTACTACATGTGGAACTCTCTAAAATGACATTGTTTAATTAGTCCCCGTTCGGACGGTAGTCCAAAACGGGAAGTAGTGTTTTTGGTTGTGTGCGTGCGCGTGTGCGTGAGTGAGTGTGCGGTCATATTTCAGACATACATGTCATGAAGGTATGCATATGCACATGAATTTGTTTTGTGATTAGATCATTTTTGACCGTTTGGCAGCTATTTTAGACCCCAAAAATGTGCAGATTCTGATTAAGATTACATGCATCTAATACAAAGTTGTTTTTATGTTGTTAAACTAATGTCAAAATAGTTTTATTATTATGTTGATTTGTCAGAATGTTACCTTTATTTGTTTTTTGTTTGATATCTTGATTTGAAAATGATTGCAATAAAGATTATCAATATTTTTACTACGTACCTGGACCCTGCCCCTACATTGTATTATCGTTCAGGCAATGTGTTCCAGTGTTGCATCTTGGGAGAAGATCGCTTAAGTGAGGCAAATTGTAACACACCTCGTATTCAGGTCCATGTTTATGGATGCCTGTTGTCACTTCGCGATAATTAAGACTGAATAGTCTGAAGATCACTAAATTATTTGGTAAGTACAGTGGAGTAATTTGTTTTTTTCTACTGAGTGTGGGTTTTTACGTTATTTAATTAATGCTTCCTGCAATGATATGTTTGCCTGCTCGTTTATCATTCAAGCTCCTTCAAGCCAGTTATCTATTTCAATTTGTGTTCGCTAAAAAAATATTTTCTTGCGTTTAACTGAAATATAAGTAGCCCTACGTATAATGCTATGTTGATCAGGGCTAACT